GGGCTGGAAACAATTCATTCAGAAAAAATGGGTCTAGAAAACTTGCTTCTGGCTGTGTCTAAATCTTGGCGACTTGGGAATTCCAGTAGTGACAGTTCGCAGTAATTCGATGTTGGGCCATTTCAATCCATCACAAGCATACTGCAGAAAAATCCAAAGGGGAAAAAAACTCGCCTCATGTGTATAAGCTCTTATCGGAACGTTGACTGCTCGAGCCAAGCCGAAATCAGCGATCTTGATGGTACCTTTTTCATCAACAAGAAGATTCTGCGGCTTCAAATCACGATGCAACACACGTCTCTGGTGACAGAAACATATTGCTTGCAGAATTTGGTAGGTGTACGATTTTTGCTGCAAAAAAAAGAGAAAAACTGACAGATTAAAAAAATGCCCCCCTCCCCCGCTTCCATTAAAAGGAACCAATACGTGTTTTCTAATACTTCAGCTGCTAGGTTCTTCAGTATATCGGCTAGACACACTGAAGTGCTTTGGAAATTTTTGAAAAATGTAAACTATGGATGTTTGTTTGGCGCTGTAGGCCAGCCGATGAGAGGGACACAGTCGAATATTGTCACTGGAACAACACTGCTACCCCACTGGTCATTGGGCCATACCCTACGCTGGCAGACACTGAGGTGGCAGTGCTGTTATGCAGTAGGTTGAAGATGAGGCAACCAATCGCTCTACGATTGATTCATTCGTTTCGATGGTAAATTGGTACTAAAATATGCCCCGGAGTCGAATCCGCTATCAGCTTGTTTTCAAACAACTCACAGAAGAAGGGCCATTGAAAGCCTTGTCGGCGGGTGATTGCTCTGAGCATCTATTACCACTTGGGCTACTTCTCGAGTAATCCGCCTCTCACCAGAGAGAATAACCAAGGAGATAAGCACGTTTTGCAAAAGGAAGAAGGTGCTAGCTACAAAGAAACGAAGCTGCCGGCTAAAGCCCTTTGCCTTGACCAGTTGCCCTTCGATTCCATGTGATATGCAAATGTCCCGTCTCCTGGCACCAGTTCCCCCTGACTCGAGTTCCCCGTTCCGTGACACGTAATGATGTGATTAGAAACGAAGTGATGATTGTTTTGTTTCAAGTAATTATGCAGTGGCAGCTTGGAGCTGCTTTTGGAACTCTTCCAGTATTTGGTTGGTTTGTTTTGTGAGTTTTTTTGGTTTTTTTTTTGTCTGTCGGTTTGACCGAGTACCCCAAAGTGCACTCCCTACAGCCGCGCAGGCCTCCGGCCCTCTTCTCTATGTTACAGAAAGCTAACTTTTGACTTATTTCGCATAAATATAGGCGCCCAGACTGTGTAACTGATGAATCGCCGCGGCTTGAGCAGCATGGAAAGGATGCCGAGTTGTTTTCTATAATGACACTTATGGCCTTAATTAGACAAAAAAGCTCGGCTTCGCGATTTTCGCCATCCGAACCCAAAAAAAAAGAACGCACTGAGGGGCTAATTTTGCCTCTTTGCTAAATTTTATGCTGAAATTTTGGTGTGGAACCTCCTCCCCCCC